GGTCAACAGAACCCTGTTTTAAACCATTTCCTAAAATTCCCTTTAGATTCTACACTGTTGCTACTTTTATTCACCTGAGCAAAACAGCTTTGTATTTTAACATTCCATGTAAAATCTACTGACTCTGACCCACCTTTTTTGGCAAAAATCTTTAATTCTGCAGTTTTGAAAGGCTTTGCAAGTGGAATTCAAAATTCTGGTCTAGGGCGACCAGATAGCAAGTGTGAAGAATTGGGATGGGGGATGGTAATAGGCACGTATGTAAGACAAAGCCCTGAATATCGGGACTGTCCCTATAAAATTGGGACATCTGGTCACCCTATTCTGTCTGTCCTTTGAAGTGCTAGTCACTTGGGAGCTACCATATGGAGTTTCTTGGGAGCTGCTGTGTGGATTTTTTGGCCATAAGGAAATCCTCCCTTCTTGTATCATAAGATGTACATTGAGAAAATAGGCAGGTAGGATGAGAATACAAGTTACTGGGCTCAGTGGAGTGGTAAATGAGTGACATTTAATGGCCTGTGAGATTTAGGAGGTTAGACTAGATGATATAATGGTCCTTTCTGGCCTTAATCTCTCCAAATTGATGAAGTGATTTAATTAAATGTGAATTTACATCAGCTCATTGTCATATAGGCTTTGAGATAGATAGCTGGTTTTCGGCTTTGACTATGTGAGTGTTTTAGTAGCAAGTTGAGAATCTTTCCAATTGGATTGTTTTGTGGAGGCGATGGAAAGGGGAATTGATCAAAAAGAGTTTGAAAATTGGCTGGTTGGCCTAGGAATTACTGCTCTGTGTTGCCACATAAAATACCCTGATTATTATTATTATTTATTATTAAGAATATTAATTTTGCTCTATGAGATGTCAGTATGCAGAAATCAGAAGAGGTGTGTTCATGGGTGGCATGTCTCATGCTCCTCAGTGGCCCCTGTAGTGCATCAGTGATCATCATTGAGTAGCTCCAAAAGAAAGTCTTGTGTAAGAACATAAGAATGGCCATACTGGGTCAGACCAATGGTCCATCTAGCCCAATATCCTGTCTTCTGACAGTGGCCAGTGCCACGTGCTTCAGAGGGAATGAGCAGAACAGACAATCATCAAGTGATCCATTCCCTGTCGCCCATTCCCAGCTTCTAGCAGTCAGAGGTTTAGGGACACTCAGAGCATGGTGTTGCATCCCAACCCATCCTGGCTAATAGCCTGCTTATACACCTGGTAATTGTTACCTTCACTCTGAAATTGAGTGTCAAATTTACGATCCCAGTGTGTGATGTTAACAGCAAAACCAACCGTGCCATGAGCAGAAATCCACTTTTGAACCAAACACAGCTGCTTCTTCCAAAGTAAACAGTGTGAGCCAGCAATTTTCAGGAAATATTACTGCTGTGTATTATGCCTAGCACGTGCAATTTTTTTTCGGTTTCCTGTAGCTTGTTAAATATCCCCCCTCCCTCAAATATTGTATCAAAGCCATAAGCTATATTTAGTTCCAGTCAAGGTACAGTCAGTCTGTTTATATTTGCAGAGTAATGTAAAAATGCCAGATAACCCACATACGCCTTGAGCACTGGAAACACAAATATGTGTAATGTACCATAAAACTAAAGTTTTCTCACTATAGCCAAAGGGTTTTAAAAAGCATTGTGGGGAGGGGGAAAGAGAGCAACATTTTCTAGAACATGGGAAAGATCTTTTCTACTAGTTCAGCATTTTGTGCCTGAGCCACTGCCCACTGAAGTCAATGGAAAGATTCCCATTCACTTCAGTGGATACAGGATGAGGCCTTGAGACATTATGGTCATGGGTGCTATAAGAAAACCTTACAGAGATATTCTTGGGATCTTGGCTCTTAGCCTACTCTTTGATCTCCCCTAGTGCTGCTCTCTAATTGCAAGAGTCACTCAAGAACCTGTACGACATAGGCTTATAAAAGTAGCTTGTGACACAGTGGTGGCTTCCGTTTGCCTTTTCCTTAAGACATTTACTGTGGAGATCCAAGAAGAGGGCTCACTGTAGGCAGTATTAATTAATCCTTTCCTTGGAGAGGTTAGGGGAGTCATAATGTGAAGGCTCTTTTGTATAGAAGAGAGAGAGAGACAGACAGACAGAGTGTGTGTGTGGGGTGGGGGGGGAGGGAAGGTGGGTAGCACCTGTTACTTCAGACAAGAAAAGACAGTTTGGTAGGGTGAAAGGAAAGGATTAATTTCACTTTTTAATTTACTTCAGTTTATAAAATATTCTGATCAACAAAAGTCAGTTGGTGCCCATTTAAAAAAAAAGCAGTGAAATAAAGTTGAATGTTATACCCCTGCCAGCTAAAGGACCCAAAATCACAGAAAGAAACAATAAACTCAGGCCATTTTCCTGAGAGATTATGTGGACTATATGAGCCTAAAAAGTGTAGCTTGTAGTATGAGCTAAAATCTCTGATGACCAAAAATCTCTGCCCTTGTCAGGCGAGCAGAAAAATGAGTCCTACAGTCAAAATTCCCATATTGAAAATGCCTTTTTACTAGGGCTGTCAAGTGCTTTAAAAATTAATGGTGATTAATCGTGCTCTTAAACAATAATAGCATACCATTTATATAAATATTTTTGGATGTTTTCCACATTTCAAATGTATTGATTTCAATTACAACACAGAATACAAAATATACAGTGCTCACTTTATATTTACTTTTTATTATAAATATTTGCACTGTAAAAATAAAAGAAATTGTTTTTTAATTCACTTAATACAAGTACTGTAGTGCAATCTCTTTATAATGAAAATTGAACTTACAAATGTAGTTATATACGAAAAAACTGCATTCAAAAATAAAACAATGTAACATTTTAGAGCCTACAAGTCCACTCAGTCCTACTTCTTGTTCAGCCAATCACTCAGACAAACAGATTTGTTTACATTTGAAGGAAATAATGTTGCCCACTTCTTGTTTACCTGAAAGTGAGAACAGATATTCGCATGGTACTGTTGTAGCCAGCAAGATATTTATGTGCCAAATGTGCTAAAGATTCATATGTTCCTTCATGCTTGAACCAGCATTCCAGAGGACATGTATTCATGCTGATGATGGGTTCTTCTCTACAACGATCCAAAGCAGTGCAGACCAACGCATGTTCATTTTCATCATCTGAGTCAGATGACACCAACAGAAGGTTGATTTTCTTTTTTGGTGGTTTGGGTTCTGTAGCTGCTGCTTTGGAGCATTGCTCTTTTAAGACTTCTGAAAGCATGCTGCACAGCCCATCCCTCTCAGATGTTGGAAGGCACTTCAGATTCTTAAATCTTGGGTCAAGTGCTTTAGCTATCTTTAGAAATCTCACATTGGTACCTTCTTTGCATTTTGTCAAATCTGTAGTGAAAGTGTTCTTAAAACGAACAATGTGCTGGGTCATCATCCGAGACTGCTATAACATGAAATATATTTCAGAATGTGGGTAAAACACAGAGCAGGAAACATACAACTCTCCCCCAAGGAGTTCAGTCACAAATTTTATTAACACTTTATTTTTTTAACAAGCATCATCAGAATGGAAGCATGTCCTCTGGAATGGTGGCCAAAGCATGAAGGTGCATATGAATGTTTAGCATATCTGGCAAGTAAATACCTTGGAATGCCAGCTATGTTCTCACTTTCAAGTGACATTGTAAATAAGAATGAGGCAGCATTATCTCCCATAAATGTAAACAAACTTGTTTCTCTTAGCGATTGGCTGCACAAGAAGTAGGACTGAGTGGACTTGTAGGCATTAAAGTTTTACATTGCTTTGGTTTTGAGTTCAGTTATGTAACAAAATTTGTAAATTGTGCTTTCATGATAAAAAGATTGCACTACTATACTTGTATGAGGTGAACTGAAAAATACGTTTTCTTTTATCATTTTTACAGTGCAAATATTTGTAACAGAAATATGAAGTGAGCACTGTACACTTTGTATTCTGTGTTGTAATTGAAATGAATACATTTGAAAATGTAGAAAAACATCCAAAATATTTAATAAATTTCAATTGGTATTCTATTGTTTAACAGTACGATTAAAACTGTGATTAATAGCGATTAATTTTTTTGAGTTAATCGCATGAGTTAACTGTGATTAAGTGACAGTCCTACTTTTTACTAATCGTCACTCATCTAAACCTGGCACATATTAATTGTTGCACCTTCATATTAAATAGTGTCTTTAAAAATTTACCTTTTATCCCAGGCTGCTTTTGTCTTATCTTTCTGCTAAATTCCCAGCTGTTCTCTCCTTTTCCCAAGTGTCCCCATCTAGAGGAGATGGTGCTGCAACTAGAAAGCTGTCAGACTGAAAGGAATAACTGAAACAGTCTTAAACAAGGATTCATTGTGAAAGTTCCATGCGGAATTGTGTGCCACAGTGTATGAAATTTGACAACTATATGTAACGTGACCATATGTCTTACTTGTTCATACTTTGTCCCAGTGTCTTGGAAACTTCTTACGTGACTCCTGAAATGTCCCTTTTTTTATTCCCTCAATCAAAATATTTTTGGTTGTGTGTTTAAAAACTACAAAATGTTAGTTTAAGATATGCTGCTGTACCAAGCAGAATTTGCTCTGTGTTTTCTAGGAACAGAGAGAGATCAGTGGAACAAGTGTTCAAGGTGATGAACGGTGTTTGGAGGGAAGGGAAAAGCTGAATGAGAGTAGATTCTATCAAAGCTTCTTTTTGCTCAAAGTGCATGTTGTTAACAGTTGTTCAGAGTTAAATAATAAAGACACTCAGAACACAAAATAACCCTTCACTTCAAGAAATAGACATGTCACTGTTGAGACAGCAGCTGGAAGTATCAATACCAGCATTTACTTTTTTTTTTTTTTGGTCATATGTATGTTACTGCCATCTGTTTTTATTTTGAAAATATAGTCCCTTTAACTTTGTAAAAATCCTATTAACTGAATCCAGCATCACTGCAACTTGCTGTCGTAGTCACATTCTTATCTTATTTATTATTATTCTTTTCTTTATAGAACAGGCAAAATGCTCCGAAGACGAAATGGAGCGACTTTACAAGTCATTAGAACAAGCAAGTTTGTCTCCCATCGGGGACCGTCGACCTTCAACCAAAAAAGAGCTCAGAAAGTCCTTCGCCAAACGGAGCAAAAACCCCTCCATAAATGAGAAACTCCACCAAATCCGAATGCTGAATAGCACATTAAAGGTGAGGTGTCACAAGGGGTAAAGTTCCAGCCTGAAAAGAGGAAAAACAGTTTGTATTGAAAAAGAAACAATCTGAAGCTTCACCCAATCTCAAAGTGAATGTTGTTCAGTTAAGTCTTTCAAATAATGTTTCACTTTCTCCTGCCTCTGTGTTTTGTGGCTATATTTGAAAGTGGAATCAGAAGCAGTAGTTCAGTTCTTGCTGTAGTTCCAGCCTGACTGGAGAAGGTGTCAGGAATTTATAAGAGATCACATGGTAGTCAGTTGTCAAATTCACACACTCAGTGGGTGTTTGGTGAGTTCACTGAATGGGACAGTGTCAAAGGAGGGAGAGCAGAAAAAGTACACGGACCGTAGTGGACAACCAAATGACCCTTAGCCAAGAAAGTTTTCCTTAAGGGATTACTGCAGAATGCACAGGATGTGCTAAAGCTATTTTAAGGGCCTCCTGGAACTAAAATAGTTTCAATAACACAAGCATCCTGCTTTCATGTTGGAATTTTACCATGGGTAGAGGATGAGAGGGTTTCTCAGCACATTCCCTGGAGGGTCTGAGAGATAGGTAGACTCTGCAATACTCTGATGGATAGGAATCACTTGGAGCCTCATTTGTGTCTCATGGAATTTCTAGTCCTGTTTCTGGGTGCTACTAGAGGAGAGAGAGAGAAAACTTATTAATATAAAATTAAATTGTAAATAGAGAGATGGAGGGATAACTCAGTCATTTGAGCATTGGCCTGCTAAATCCAGGGTTGTGAGTTCAGTCCTTTAGGGGGCCATTTAGGGATCCTGGGCAAAAATTGGGGATTGTTCCTGCTTTGAGCAGGGAGTTGGACTAGATGACCTCCTGCGGTCCCTTCCAAACCTGATATTCTATGAATGAACATTAAAACAATTGCCTTCCCCATCCTCTTGCTTTTTTTATCAGAAGTAAGAAATGAGTATGTTACCTCAATTGTTTTTACTTAGCTTTAAGTCATGTCTACTTTGGAGAAATTTATAAAGAAATTTCTCACTGGTACTAATGCCAAATCAGCTGTTCTGAGACTCATAATAATACATTCTTCTGTAGCATCTGCTGTCTGAGGATCTCATCATTAATGAAGTAAGCCCCACCACATACTTATAAGATAGATAAATAGTATCCACGTTTTACAGGTGAGGAAACTGAGAGACAGAAAAACGTTACATGGCTTTTCCAGTGTAATGTGTGTCACCAATAAAGGAAAGAACAGAACTGCTTAGTGCCAAGGGAATTGGTGGCTCACATTTTAGTGTTAAATCTTCAGATTAGAATGATGGTGAGTTGGGGATAAAAACTTTAGTGCTATTAGAGTTTTTGTTTATTTCCTAAGGGGATTCACATTCCTCTGGGTAAACAAATGAGTAAATTATGGATCTGACTGTGGTTAGCACTCTTTTATAACCAGACTTTTTTTTTTTTTTTTTGGTCTAACACTAATTGAGTATGGAAAGATCATTTTCTTGGATGCTTTTCTTAATGCAGAAAATATGGGTTTTGCTTTATTCAAACAGAGAAGTTGGAGTGTCGACAAGATAAATATGGCATTAGAGAATTTCATACAGAGACAAATAGAATTCTTTAAGCAATGGTGTTTACATTAGTTAGTGTGAAAGGTACATTCTCATAGTAAGGAAAATGCCAAACTGTGAATCAGTAAAAAAGTATGCTTTTAAAGTAATTTCTTCTTAATATTATATGAAGCAGGACATAATTAACCCTGCATGATCTATTGGAAATACAGAATTCTGGGAAGTCTTACATCTGATCCATATTTGCTGTGCTTTGACTAAACCTTTATCAGCTTAAAGCAGAGTGATTTATGAACATACCGAGGCTGACTGGGATTATTAGTTTGGACTTGCTACTCCACATCTCTAGCAATGAATCATTGCTGCTGCCACAATATATCAATAGCAAAACATATTTCGGATGGCTAGGAAGAGAGGGAAGCTGTTTGCAGAGTGTTTCATATGCTAAATGATTGGAGGAAATTAGTCTTTTTTCCAGAGATACGAAAGATAGATCCACCCTGTCAGAAAATTTCTCCATCGGGAAAAAAAATCCCCGCTTCTATGTTAGCAGCACCTGTCTGTTTCTCTGTCCTGTGCCTTTTGCTGTCCTCTTACAAAAGTTGCCAGCTAGACATAGGGCTGAACCTGAGTAATCTGCCTTTCTAACAAGCTGTCCAATTCCAGTTGGTTCAAGAATCACAGATCACAGAGATTAGGCCTTCTGGGAAAGTTGTTGAGGCTATGGGTCAGGATCACTTTTGTGCATAATTCTTGGGGTCAAGAAAGCTCTAGGCCCTCTTACCTGCCTTTATTTCCCCACTTACTCTCTGTCTCATCCTCCTAGCTCTGACCTTGAAACCTTCTCTGTCTTACTTTTGCCTCTCTTCTGTAATGACCCTTACCTGAGGCTGACTAGAGGTGCTTGACATAGGCCAGTGGAGGGGTCCGCTGCCTCACATCCACTGGAGGGAGACAAGCAACGGACAAACTACATACATTGTTTTTATTATTTTTTTCTATCCAGAATGGGTGTTTGCTTATCCCTTCTTATTATAACACTAGAATTCCATCTCATGGGGCTGTTTAACAGCAGAGGCCTACTCCGAGCATACGCCAGAGAGAATTGGCACTTTTGCAGTTAATTTGTCTCAACAGAGGCTTCTGTCTGGAGCTGGCATAGCTAAATGATGGTTGGTGGAGAATCATTTCAGTTCAGATCCATTTGTCGTCATCCTAGAATTACTAAGAACATTTTGTTGAAGTCTATGTCTCCATAGTTGAAATCCAGTATCACTGCTTGGAGAAGCCCTGTATGCCTGGGACACACTAAAAGAATAGTAAGATACTGTAGACCTGGAAAAGGAAAATGGAGCTCTGCAATAGAGAACATAAGAATGGCCATATTGGGTCAGACCAAAAGTCCATCTCGCCCAGTATTCTGTCTTCTGACAGTGGCCAATGCCAGGTGCCCCAGAGGGAATGAACAGAACAGATAATCATAAAGTGATCCATCCCCTATTGCCCATTCCCAGCTTCTGGCAAACAGAGGCGAGGGACACCATCTCTGTCCACCTTAAGGTGTTTATTCTCCATGTACTGATGTCTCTGCTCACATCCTCTGTGAGGACTGAAGCTGAGATCTGTGGGCCTAAAAATGTGAGCCCTACATACTGAGCTAAAGGAACGGGGTTCATTAACTTACAAGTAGCAGCAGCCTTGTAAACCTCCCTATATGGTCTAGCCACTAGAGTGGGACAGATAGCCACCCTATGTGAGTGTGGATTACATCTAAATTTAATATGTCTAGGACTGAAAGTAGGGGTATTTACAATGTGGGAAGGGAGTGTTTTTCTTGAAGGTCAAAAGCTGTGTCCAAATTGCAGTAATTGCTGCTGCTGTTACCAGTTTTTTTAAAATTTAGCATTTTATGAAAAGTGATCAGTTCTTCATGTAACTCTTCTCTTGGGCTTTTGTGCAAAGATCCTGTGAAAAATATGGGATATTTTAAAGACTCAGGTATAAACAGAACTGTAACTTCAATTGGAAGAAACTTTTGCCATGGGCTTGTTTTAAAATTCCCATACTCAAAAAGGGAATCACATTGCCAAGATGGGCAATTTAGGTTCATACTATTTTTATTAAGGAAAATACGGTGTACAGTTCGTATGGGAAAATATATATTTATTAACCCTCTTGATTTCCTACTAGTGTAAAGAGCATGACCTGGCCATGATTAACCAATTGCTGGAAGATCCTGAGCTGACGGCAAAGAAGTATAGAGAATGGAAGAATACAAACACCATGTTGGTCCAAGAGATCTATCAGCAGCACGATGCCCTAGCTGTTGTGGAAGGGAATAGCAAGGAACCATAGATGAATCCACCACCTTTCTTTAATTGAAAATGCTATCTGAGGACAGTGGAACCTGCAGTACATAACAGGATTCCTCCCTGTCCCTCTTTACCTCCTGATGCTTTAAGCTACTACAGTTTCAGGTTTTGTTTTTTCCAAGTGCTTATCTCTTCCCCTTTAAAAGAAAAACAACCCATTCTCCAAAGCATTATTTCCTCTCTCCAAACTCATTTCATGCCAATAAAATGGAACCCCAAAATTAAAAAAAGATGCCCCCTCTGGGTACATGTCTGAGGCAAACATTATCTGAAGCAGAGAGGAAATGGATTGACATTCAGGAATGGCTGATCTTTCATCAGAGGTAAACTGAGCACACACAGACCTGAAAGTCTCAGAGGAATGTACATATTGTAGATACTAGACCTTCGGGGTCATTTTATTCATGTAACCTATTGATGGAAGGAACTTTTTTAAAGCTATGATAATGCTAACAGGATACAATCTTCTCTCCTACCACTTGTCTCTTCAAGACAACTACAAGTAAGAACTTTTATCTCTACTTACATTTGTTTTGACTGCATTACTATGTAAACGGTGGCAACAAGGATAATGATTATGCATAAATCTGAATTTTAAATAATTTTCAAGGCACCCAGTCAATGGACACCATAAACATTTCCTAATTGTGTACGGACAAGATCAAGATGCTGTTTTCCCACGTCATCTGGAGAGGGTCCCTTAATGTGTGTTGGTGACAAATAAATTTGTTCTTCAATGCGGAAACTCTGTCTCATCAAGTTTCAACTTTTCTTATGGAATATAGGACTCAGTAAAGGACAATTTTCTGCTTACATATTTTTGATAGTAGTGAATACGTAAAGTACAAGTTCATCTTGAATTCATAGTCATAATAATAGACCTTTTACAGCGCTTTTAATCAGTAGAACACAAAATGCTTTACAAAGGAAGTCAGTTTATTATCCCTGTTTTACAGGGGAAACTGAGGCACAGAACAGCAGTGACTTGGCTGATGACACTCAGCACGCAGTGGTGGAGCTGGGCAGATCCAAACATATAAAACATAGTTGATTATATTTTTTTTTAATATGTGTCACTTTATGGCTTATGTGAATGTGTGACCATGTACTGTATATATTTTTATTTATATATTTATGTACTGTACATTTTCTACTGTAAAAAGGACCACATGTTATAGATGAGATTGTTTATCTGTTGATTTCAAGAGAAATGCCTGCACAGTCTTCATACCCAAATATAATTAATATACATTTATATTATTCATACCATTCCAAAGTTACGACACATTGGGAGTTGCATTGTAAGCTTTATTTTTGAGTACCTTGCTTCTACTTTTTGACCTCAGTGTGAGATTTGGTTGAAAATTTCACTGTATATTCTAGGGTAGGAAAATATTTTTCTATAAAATTTCATAACCCCAGGTGGCATGGTTTCATAACCCCAGGTGGCATAGTTTAACTAGTATGTTAATCAAATAAAAAATTAACACATTGTTTTGCTGCAATGGGTCATAATTTTCAGCCTTAGGTTTCTCAGCACAGGATACACATTTGAACTCCCAATTGGATGTTGAATTGTCTATACATGTGCAGTATAGTTTGATTTGCACATTTCAGCATATGTGACTTTGTAAAGTCACTGAGTTTTAAGAAATATTCCTCCTTATTAAATGGATCCCCAGCACAGGAACTAGCATTTAAAGATATACACCCAAATACTCTGGTGTGAAGGAGATGCACTCCAGTTAGCCAGTGTGTAAAGATGTTCTCAAGAGTTTTTGGACTCATCTAGCTTTAAAGCAGAATACGCTATAAATATCAAAAAATCATACATGTTCAGATATTGACCCATGTGTATGCATAGTGTAGATTATTAGAATTTTGATTATGAAAAAAAATTAACCATCTTCACTGGAACAGATTGGATTTCCTCCACTTGCTTAGCAATTAGTTTTAATTGCTTGGAAATGTTTCATTACTAAGCAATTAATGTTTTAAGATCTAAACCCTTAGCTGTATCCCAGAACATCCAGGAAATGTTGGATCATTAGAGATGGGTTGGACTTGGGAATTGAATGCAGCAGGAAGGCTCTGAGTTTTGGGCACTTCTGGCAGCTGGTAAATCTACTAAAATTTGATTGAAGGGAGCCATGCCTAGGTGGACTGTATAAGTTCCCGTGAAGCAGGTTTTCCCTTCTGCAGATATTAGCGGGAGGAGAAGAGTGGACTGAGGGATGGAGAGACACAGGAGGCAAAAACAGGAGGTGGTTGGATGCTGTGGCTCGGAAGTAGGGTTATATTTGAGATACCAGCACTGCCTCAGGACTGGAACTTGGGAGTGGGACTGGTTGTTGAGTCCGCGTTAGTGCTGGACTATGGAGAGCTGTAGCTAGAGAACAAGGACTAGCTGGGGACTGGAACTGGGTGGTAAGAACTAGTATAGGAATCAGAGAAGGAAACTGAAACAATCACTGGGCACATCTGTTAAAAATAAAACCACAAAATCTTTTAACTAAACCTTCTAAACTATGGAAACCACAAGCTAAGTGATGTAAATAGATCTGACATCAGCCTTTCCCATCCAGACCATTCTCTTGAATTGCACTTAGCAACCTTAACTGTAACATGATGAAGGTTTGTTTGTTTTATGTCTAAGTGTGTGTGTGTGTATATAGATATATATAGATTCTCTTGTGTTAAGCAACAATACTGAAGGTTTTTTGTTCTTTTTTTGACAGTTGCACACGGACATTATGCAGCCAAAGCTGTAAAATACTTCAGGAACTTAAAGAAAATTCTGTTTAAGAGAAATCAAGAAAATATTGACTTATGAAATTAAGGAATTCCTCATTATGTTTTTAGACTTTGTGCATATTTTTTTCAGTTGTTCCTAGTGAACAACAAAATTCAGATTTTTTTTTAGCGACATTTATTATTCTGGTAAAAAATCTTTCCTTAAAGCTAATCATCCGTCATTTTGTAAAGTGTGCACCCACTACCCAACAAACAAACTATGCTAAACCAATATTTTCACTTACACTTAGAATATTTCCTCATTTCTGAAAAAAAAGTCAATTGTCAAGATTTTAGACAATAAGTACATTTTAAAAAGAGCCTTAAAATAAACTAAACTTGGAAGGGACAGATCTTCACCTGTAGGCATAGAGTGCCTGGTGCAGTGCCCTTTGGACTTCCTGATTCTGGGGCTGCTCTGTACCAGGCCACAGTCCCAAGATCCTTTCACCTTCATCAGCTGCCAATGGCCCCATATGGCAACCAGGTTTATGGAAGCTCAAAATAGTAGACCTTGTTCCTAGCCACACCCTCTACACTGACAGCCAGAGTAGTTGGTGTGGGAGTCATACAGGAGCTCTGCACCACTCAAGGATATATCTATCCAGGAGAGTCACTTTAGGGGCTTGATCTGCTGAGTTTAGGGCCGCTTTCCACTGGGAAAGTGACACCAAACAGCTGGACCTCAGTCTAGTAACTTGGCCAAAGCCTTGGAAAAATATAAAGACAATGCAGAAATTTGTTGCACATTTTATATATATATATATGTGTGTGTGTGTGTGTATTTGTATTTGCCTAACTTTTTCAATTCTGTTTTGTTACAGTGTTCACTCAGTATGGAATAAATTCATTCCACCCCAACCCTCTGATACATGCTTTGGTCATATAATTAGTTATTCAAACTGAGCCCTTCTAGCCTTAAAGTCTACCGATGATGTAAGATTTTATTGTCAGTACGTTTTTGGCTTGACAGACAAAATTACCTCCCAAAGTGCATGTGATGAACTTGAAATTAAATCAGCTGGATAATACCAACATAGGGTGAGCTGCAAGGCCCATCCACCACATCAGTCCCATGCAAGCCCTTGAAATAATGTTAAGTGGGATATAAGTCGTGGCTAGGCCTTGTATGGGCCCTCTGCATAGGAGTGGATTTTACCTATGGAGAACCCATGTGTATGTGTATTCGGAAGTAAAACAAATAATGTAAATGATTAGCATACAACTGAGAGTGAGAATTAAATTGTTGGCTTTATAGCAGTACAGACTCCAGTGAAGAAAGACATTTATCTACTAATTAGCGTCTCATGGCTGACTTATCTGTGTATATATTTTTTCACCTGTAACATTTTTTTTTCTTTTTTTCTTTTATTAGCTGTAATGATTCCACCAGAGAGTGGACTGAAAAGTTGTCATTGGTCCAGGACTGAATGATGACAGCCTTGTGCCGCAGACAGATGTCATGGTTGCGGGGGGGGGGGGGAAGGGAGAGAGGGAATCCTACCATTTGGGGGGAAAGGAAACATTTTTGTGGCAGATTGTTGAAGTGCGTATATGTGTGGTAATGGAGCTGATTTAAATCTACTCAGAGTTTTGGAATTAATGCTGACTGGAGAAGTTAATGGGCAGAGTGCAGGTAAATCAGTCAGATGTGGAAGATAAATGCAGTTTGTTGCCTGGGTATCATGTCTACATATATGGGCATGGGTGTGAATATAATAACGTATATTTGGTATACCAACTTATTTTTTGATAAAATCCATCTCTTGAAATGTAAGGCACTTCCACAGGAGGAGTCTCCCTGCACTGTATGGGAAGATTTTTTGTGTGGCTCAAGAGTGATCAATTGCAATGGCAGTATGTGTCATTTATGAGAAAAACTAAACTCTAATAACAGCAAATGGAGTGTTTTTTTTGTTATCTTGCATCATTTCCAGCAAAACCTCTAGAAGGTGGGAAAATCCAATTGTCTGATGCCTGGATGAGATGCCTCCCGAAATGAGAACTACATGATTAGATGTGAAAATGAAGAGATGTGGAAATGAAGAGGGATCTCTGCCCATGTATTTGGCATTAGATCAAATAATTACTTAACCCATTTGTGGTATCCTCATGAGGTACCAACTTGGGGATTAATCTCTGGGGTCAATTTAAACCTGTTGTTAGTGCTAAACAATCAATAAATAAATGAAGGCCAAATTTCAGTCATTTGGGGGTTGGTCTTGCAAGCTGCTGTTTGCTTTCCCATGTGCTTAACTTTAAACACCTCCACTGCCCACATGCTCCAGAGCTTTTCTGAACCAGGGCCAGAGTGATCAGCAGCAGCAGTGATGAGCCCTCAGACCCTTGCAAACCTGGAGTAACTCCACTGGTTGAAATAGATTTACACTGTGCAAATGAGAGCAGAGTTTGGCCCAGTGATTCATATTCTCTTACTCTCAGTGTGAATGCATGCATATGCACGTGTGTATTTGTAGATGTGTGTATGTCTTGTATAATATATAGCGATGCAACAATGTCCTTGGATTGACAAACGCAGTACAATTGGTTGTAACAGGGTCATGTAGCCTGAAATAGTTTTGGAATACTGCCCTGTTAGCTGGCCAATAAATTTTTGAACTATTGACGTTTCCGCAACTAGCAGAGAGTGGGTCACATCACTTTTACTTAAAATAGAACAGAGAATTCTCAGCACGGGGTAACTTTAAAGTAGCTAATATCTCAGGCAAAAAACTCCTGTCTGAAAAAGTAAATTTACTGTACCTATAAGTGCAGCAATCAGAACTCATCTCCTGCCTCTTCAGATAGTTTTGAGGCCTTCCAGACATGAAGGGAATAGAAAGCATGGAGCATGTGAAGTGAAGATAGCATCAGAATAAAAGGACATATTTTTCATTAAGGGAAAACATTCCAATCTTCTTAGCTGATAAATAACTCTACTGTCAGATGCTGAAATAATTGCAGCAAAAACAGCTCAAAAATCTCAGATTTCTAAATCAGAGTGAGAGGAAATACAGGAGGGGATGAATTCTATGTAAATAGATGTACACAAGAGGTGTATGTAACTGTTAATCACATCAATACAAGAGAGCACTGAGCACCATGCTCTCTGCTCAGTGGTGTTTGCCATCAATTGTGTTTGTATAAAAGGTTTTGGGCATGAATTTCAAATGGCAGCATTACTCTAAAATGTGAAATACACATGGTGCTAAATGGGTGCCATTATATTACCGCATACATGTGTGTTGTTTCATATATTATTCAGGAGAACTTAGTTAGAAATGTTTTAGAATTAAGTGTGTGTGCGCGCGCGAGAGAGAAAATAAAAAGCTTTGTTGTTATTTCTTTGTCCGTAAGGCCCATCTCTACATTAGTACAGGGAGTCCGGCTGTACAGATCTTGGAGTGATTGGAAAAGTAGAACTTAACCATTTTAGTCATTTCTAAAATCCATTTTTAATGGCTTTTCTGTAAATCAAGGATGTCTCTCTATTTCAGTGTTCCAGAGCTCAGAAGCTACAAGGACTAGACGTGAATGCTGTAATCCACTGAGTTGGGAGAGAATCCCAGAGCGTCATTTCTAGCTGTAATGATTTCATCAGAGAGTGGACGGAAAAGTTGTCATTGGTCCAGGACTGAATGGCGACAGCCTTGTGCCGCAGACAAACGTCATTTTTGGGGGGAGAAAATCCTACCATTTAGGGGGAAAGGAAATGTTTTTGTGGCAGTATGTTGAAGTATGTGTATGTGTGATAATGGAGCTAATTTAAATCTACTCAGAGTTTTGGAATTAATGCTGATTGGAGAAGTTAATGGGCAGAGTTCAGGTAAATCAATGTGGAAGATAAATGCAATTTATCGCATGGGTATCAGGTCTATATATATATGGGCATGGGTGTGAATATAATACTGTATATTTGGTATACCAATTTATTTTTTGATAAAATCCATCTCTAACTGTAAGGCATTTCCACAGGAGGAGTTTCCCTGTACTGTATGGGAAGATTTTTTGTGTGGCTCAAGAGTGACCAATTGCAATGGCAGTATGTGTCATTTATGAGAAAAGCTAAACTCTAATAACGGGAAATGGAGCGGTTTTCTTCTAGTGGTAGGGCCAAAGTGGTATTTCCTGTTTTATGTGGGACATGTAGAAAGAAGATAAACTTTGAAATGTCAGTCATGATTTCCTTGAACTCTCAGCAAGTTCTGCAGTTTACTCTGTTCCCATCCACTGAAATTAGAAATCTTGCTTTCTTTTTTACATGGGCCCTTTAAACAGAAGGGCTTACTATTAAAGTGAAATTCCCCCTCTGCATGGGGGCACTACCAAGTTGACGTGCCACTAATATTCCACTTAAACCCTATTTTGAGGAGTTACGTGAACATGAGCTTTTTTGTGGGCCATCTGCACAGGGGTAAATTTTCTCCAAGAAAATTTGTTTTGCATTAGTAGATTGGTCAAGAACTTAGGAACCATCTGAGTGCTAATGCTCACTCTGTCCCAGATATTGTGCGGCCTTGAACAGGTTACTGTAGCTGCACTCACAAGTTATCCTTCCTGTCTCACTTTCCTCCGGCTGTAAAATGAAGATACATAAACACTTGTCTACCTCATATGGTGATGTGAAGATTGATTAATTCCCAGTCTTGTGGACACTTACACAGGTGAGTAACTTCACCCATGAGAAGTCAATGGAATGACTCACATGAATAAAGTTACACACATGCATAATAATAATAGATCTGAAAGCACTTTACCAAGAAGGGCAGTATCATTATCCTCTTTTTACAGTTAGGGAAACTAAGGCACAGAGCAATGAAGTGAATTGCCCAAGGTCACCCAATAGACCAGTGGCAGAGTTAGGAACAGAACTAAGATCTTCTGAGCCCCAGTCTGGTGCTTACTAGCTAGTTAAGTTAATATTTGTTCAGTATTTTCAAATTTAAAGTGCTATAAGTGTGCTCAGTACTAATATTTTTGCCTCTTAGTGCATGCATGCATGTAACTCCTAAGTTTAGGGGACATGACATGCATGTAGCCAAGGGGAACTAGCCTCTTACATTGATACTTCTGTGTTAAACATGCAAGACAGAATTCTTAACTCAGACTTTTGTTTTTTTTCCAAATTGGTTTTGAAAAAAAAACCCCAAAACAAACCTAACAGTAACATAAAAAACAGGCACATTCTTAAGACAGGCACATTTACTTGGGGATTATTATTTCAAAGCCTGTTTTTTTAGAATCAGGAAGTTTCTGTGAATGGCTATTTTGAAAAATGCCTTGCACTCTGGGAGAGAATGTACTTTTTGGAACAGCCTGGCTGAAACAGTCCCCTGAACTGGCTGCTGTATCTGTTCCTAAAGAAAGACACCTCATGCCAAATGAACGTCCTTGAAAGACATGTGATGTGTTTACATTTTCATATATGTAGCACGGCCAGGCAGCTCTTTTTATCAAAATAAAATAATAAAGGTGATGGGAGCTGCATAAGGGAAATTTCACTTCACTTTAGAAAGGCAACACATGCAACAGCATGGGAAATATCCTTCCTCCAGATCCTCGTCATACACTGTTATGAAGCAAACTTAAGTCTTCTCCATTTCCTCCTTTCGAGTCAGTTTTTTAGGTTACACTGTCCTTTGGTGGCATAAAGTGTAACTGCTCATCAACTTATTTTTGTAAGAATGTAAATGAAGGGAACTCTTTGATCTGGGCATGTATCTTATCTGTAACTAAAAGGTTTAAATATGTGGGAGACTGTGTTATATATACATAAAATGTGTGTATGTGTGTATCATTCTGTATATATCACAGTAATCTATGGTTATTGGGCAAGATCCTCAGCCTATGTTCCCTTATTACATTTGAATAAAACAAAGGAAAGCAGGTGACAATGTTTTGGGCTAAAACTACCTTTTGATTGCCTTTGGGAAAAGGCAGCTTTATGATAGCTTTATCAAATAGTAGGGTTTTTTAATTAAGAAAACTAGTACACATGCACAGCCTGCTGGCTTTTAGTGATATTGCAAGTGAAGTAATAATGCAATGAGCTCATTCATAGGACTTAATGATTTTTTTTTCCTTTTTATATCTTTATATTTTCCCATCTGTATTTTTATTGCATCACTGAAAGTCTTGGCATTATGCACAAAAACCATTGTCACATCTATAGGTACTTGAACTTGAGCACTGAAACCTAATTATAGTAACCGTGTACGTCAGTTGGCCAACTCACTTTCCCCGGCACAAAAACATGTTATGCAGGCTGTATGTCAGTTATGCTTCTGCTATGTGCCACGTAAACGGCTAAGTTAGGCCCTGATCCTGCAAGAAGTCCAGGCAGGCAGACTCTTTGCCCACATGGAATCCCAGTAGACCTCTGTATTGGAGCACTCGAGGTGGAGCTTTTTTCGGGATGAGGCCCTTGTCATTCAACAAACCTGATTCAGGCACATCCATTATGTGCAGTGGCTTAAAC